TTCTGTGTGATTCTGTGTGTGATTCTGTGTGGGACTTCTCACCACTACACGATGCAACTTCTAGAGCTCGAACACAAAAGCCATGTAATTGCTCTGAAAGGCTGGTGCATATGTGCCCAACCACCACCAGTGTTTGCCTCCCTTTTACCTTCTCCATTCTTCCCACCAACCCAGAAGCAAGCTGTTGAACGTTTCCAACTCCAATTCATTACTCCTGACTATTGGCAGCTGGAAATTTGGAGGCCATTTGGTAGTATCATGAATCCATTCCCACTCTTGCAATAAATTCCCCACTAATACATCTTAAGGGCCCATTTCTCTTTTTTATCTGCATTTACACAGTAACTGAGCCTCTATAGCAGTAAAAGCTGATGCTTTCCCCACTTGAAAATATTTATTGCTGTGAAAACCAAGATTTGCCACCAAATTGCAGTTTTCAGGCTCTTAAGTTTCCTTCCAGGTCTCCTGCTGGAGTGTTCAAGTGTCACACCTTTTCCTGGATGGTATTTCTATCCTTACAATGACCATACTGCTTGGATTCTCTGTGCTAACAACACTATGTGGCCTGTAAGCTTTTTTCCATGCTTCATCCAAACATCGTTTGTACCCCTTTCATAATTTATAAGGAAAAACAACGTACTTATCAAGGAGTATGCACATGACTACTTACAACTGATAATACAAGTTGTGTGTTCCCTTTGAAAAAGAATGCATCTCTCTTTGTGCATAAACACAGCTGCGCTGAACCCAGAGATGTTTGCAATCATTTTTCACAGGCAAAACCTTAAACATTTCCTGGTGAAGGAGCAATTTTCTACCTGGAGAGCAGAAGCCTATAGACAACTGGAATCATCCTCTACCTCAACATGCAACAGCATGCTGTAAGCCTTGCTAATTGACCAAAGAACACAACTGCTCTTTCTCCCTACCACCTGGATGAAGAAATAGCTCTGGTTCATACCAGGAGCAATTTGTATCCCTTTGCCTACAAATGCCATTGAAGTTCCAAACTCTACCTAGAAGCCCTAGGAGGCATCTTTGCAAACATCACTTCCCCAGCAGCCCTGCTCATGCTGAGGAGGAACCATCTGAAGGTGTTTTTTGAGACACAGCAGCAGCAAGACTTCTTAGCAGACAAAAACATGGCTCTTCTAAATGCCAAAAAGTCAGCACCTACAGTGTGGAATAAAAACAAACAAATGAAAAAATTCCCCCAAACTTACTGGAGGTACAGAGCTTCACTGAGGATTTAATTGTACTCTCACGCTCCTAGGATTTTTAGCAGGATCCAGGTTTTCAGAAGTGGCATAACAACATTTAAATCAGCAGCTGCTCCTCTTGCTTCCCTTGCTCCTCAACCACCACACACCACTGTGCTGCTGAGTTTTTTATATCTCAAACCTGCAGCAGCTGCTGCAGTTTCAGCCTCCCATTGCCATGGGAATGTCTCTGCTTGTGTGTGTTGGCTTCTGTGCATGCCCATTGCAAAAGTGCTGTTTACAGAAATGAAAACCTTTCACTTATGAAAGTACTACAGACATGGACCCTAACTACACCCATAGGTTGAGCTGCAATGTTCATCCAGGCAAAAGTCCTCTTTACAGGCTCTCCTTTCCATTGGTAGCTCCTTGCTTGCCTGCCTGTGTATTGCTGATCAACCTCCTGTGTGTCCAGGAACTTGCGTTCTCTCCTACCTGCTTCATTCATTCCATCTCTACCTGCAGCAACATCTCAGATGAGAGATACCATAGGCATCAGTGTCCCACAAGGAAATCTGTCATCAGAAAGCTGTCTTTCCTCCCTACCTTCAAGAAGTTGCACATCAATCAGAGCGCAGCTAGAATACAGGAATGTTTCTGAGCAGCATCTTCTCTTGCTATTTGAGAAGTTCTACCAAAATAGGTGGCCTGGCTTATTTCTATCCTGTGTGGTGTTACCGTCTGCAAGAGGTAAACCCTTTGCCCTGAGTTTTGTGTCAGGAAGTCAAGTATGGTCAATAGCTGAAGGGACAGGAAGGTGTTCAGAACATAACACCTACTCTGCAGAGATTTTCATGGACACACTAAATGTGGTTGCTCTCATGTGACATTTTGAGCCTTGTGCACATACCTGCAGCCTGAGCCTTGGTTGAACCAAATACTCCATGTGCTGCTAGCAACCCAAGCTGTGTGGTACACATTCAAACTTCTCAAAGTTGATTAATCATCAATGCTCCACCTTCTCCTAATCTTGCCACCTTCTAGTCTATGGTTGTTTCTATATCCTTTTAAAGAGCAGAAACTGTGTTAGTAGAGACAAAAACAGACACAATGGAGGAAGACTGCCTCAGCAATACTATTCCAGTATTTGTCTTGCTTGTGTTTGAAAAACACAAGTTGAAGCAAACTCTTCTATCTCTGCAAAAGATACAGGGTAACTTTGAAAAGTAAGTTAAACAGAATGTGGGATTAACTTGAAAAGCAAGAAAGTAGAACTAGGAAACACTGAGAAAATCTGTATTTAAATCTCTAGTTTTGTCTTCTATCCCACTACTCCAATCCCAACATGTTTCCACGTGCTGAAGCTCAGGGATGCTCCACTTAAAGGGATCATGGCACCCGTGGTAGCTCCCTGGCTTCACAGCCGACCTCACTTTGCAATAGATGTGGCTGCATTTTGCAGGGGGTTGTTATTGGAACATTTGGGGGTTAGATCAGAATTAGAAAACGTCTCTAGAGATTAATAAAGTTCCATTCTCTTTCTAAATAAATAAGAGTGGGTAACAGGTGGTTTTTTGTGTTTGTTTGTTTGTTTTTTAATAAGGAATTTTGTCAGTCCTATTTTATTATGTGTAATAGAAGGAGGTGAAAAAAAAATCAATATAAGCACTGTACCTAACCTATTTAAAACTACAATCACAATGTTATCTGAATGCCTTACAACATTGTTTAAATCCAACAAGTAGACAAGAAAACAACAAATCTATGCAGGGTTTTTTATACATATGGTGAGAAAGTTTGCAAAGTGTTAAAATATATTTTCTGTTCTGTATGTTTCTGGTACAAGGAAGTGATGTGTAGAATACTGTATATTTATGAACAGAACCATGACTTATACAAGCAATAATCGACTTCAAAACATACAATGTATATCTTAAAATATCCCCTAGAGCTGCTCATATAAAGTCAAATCCAGCACCTACTAAAGTTCAGCCAGCTGACTCTCTTTGACTCCAGTGGGCACTTGACAAAGCCCATGATAACTGTGAAGTACCTGACAGTCTAATTGTATTCATATGGAAAAAATCACATTGCATAGATTTAAACAGGAAGACATGCAATAACAAGACAAGTCACAACATAGCAAAACCTTGTTTCTTTGGTGAAACAGAAGCAGATATAAAAGTTACAAAGATTTTAGACTTTCATTCACAAAAAAACAGACATTCACATTATACACTATACAAGATAATAATATAAATAGAGAAAAGTATTATGTGCATTGTTTGGGGGAGAGGGGTGGGGAATGTACCGGCCACCACAGTGATGCACTGCCACACTGCACACACAAAGACTGGGTAAACTTGATGAGGCAGCCACTGAAATTTCTTCAGACATGTTGTCTGGAACCATAATTGCTGTTCTCAGTGAGCTGTGGCAAGGTCACTCCATGGGCAGCTCTGACTTGTACAAACTCTTACTGTGTTGGCTGGGTTTCAATTATTTTCCTTTCCCTTTCAACTTTTTGCATCATATCCCCACACTAACACAAAGGCATAAACTTCCCATCTGTGTTTGTATTTCCAATGTTATTTTAAAAGGTATATCATAGGGAACTTACTGTTCTTTATTTTCACTTTCTGTTTTATTTAATTATCATTATTATTTTTTGTCCTGTGCCCAAAGGTGTGCAAGGCACTTTGCAGGAATAACAGTCCTTTCTGTGGAGAGGTTGTTTCAAACGTTACCTTCTACACTTCCTGTACACATCCAGGCCAGCCGTTGCTCTGAGCAGGGTAAGAAATCATAATAGAAAACTCCTACGTACACACTGCACCAACTACAACCTATAATTTCTTTGTGCACATACTTCTCTCTAGAAAGCCAAGGTTCTGATTCTTCTCACCCATCTAACTGCAAACAAATGACCTCGTTTGGTGGGAATTTTGTTCTCCAGGGAAATCACAGTTGAACAGAAAAATGGTTCCAAAAGTGGAGCTCAGGGTCTAATACTGCACTGGCGAGCTCTTTTAATCTTCTTTGCATGGGTAAAATAACATCCAATAAATTAAATCAGTATGGCTTACTTCATTTATTTATGTACGCTTCACAGCTGCAGCATTCATACACAAACATTCATTACTTTATAAAAAGATTAAAAAATGGTTATATATACAAAATTATTTACTTTTTTGATTTTTGTTTGTTTTTAAAAAAAATTCCCCCAAACATCAGGTCTATCTCCATTTCAGAATGCAGAGACCTGTAATGTAGACGTTGTGGTTAATGTCGTGAAGGTGATTTTTAAATTTTAAATTCTTCTTTTTCTTTTTAAAAAAGTGGCCTTGGTTGATAAAGTTAATGTATTAGCACTTGGATTTTTACAGGCCCTCCTTGTCATGCACAACTCCTCCATGCAGTCCTTTCTCATGAATGGTGAAGCTCAGGTGGAGAACAGAAAAATAATTCCACATTGCAGTCCCTAGTTCATGATCATGCCACTTTTATGTGCTCTGTCTAAACCTTGCGTCATACAGACACAAACTGTACCTTGGATGGGAACTGGCACAGTTTCTTTAAAAAAAAAAGAAATTAAAAAAAAGTCATGTAACTTGTGTGTTTATCCTCACCTGATAATAGCAAATTTCAGTCAGTGAAGTTATTTCAACCGTTTCCAGCCTAAGTAAACAACATAAAAACAACGCCATAAATGACTGAAGACCTCTGAGGCCATTCTAACCATAAATATGCCTGAAATTAGTGTGACTTTCATTTTATATACAGGATTTTAAAAACAACACACAATTAAACAACATTATAATCATCTTATTTACATTTTCATTGATGCTAAAATCAAGATGTTTAAATATTGCAGAAGGCTGGTATATATCATAAAATTGTCCACACTGATGGCATATAGAAAACTAATAATCTTTATAGGCTGGAAATGGTTTTCTTTTATCCCCATAAGCACTTCTCCTTTTTTTTTTAATTTTCTGATTAACACCATAATTTTGCAAAATGCATTATGAATACCGCAGTCCATAGTTTCAAAACAATTTGATAATACTCCTATAAGTGATAGAAAAGGCACAGAAAGTTACAACTTTGGCTGAAATGGTGGAAATCCCCATTCACCATTTAGCTCTCAGCGCCTTGAGTCTTGCCACGTTCTGATCCAGCGATGATAGTGTTTTGATGAATTTAATGATGTTCCCTTTCCTGATGAAGAATGTTTATAGTAGTATTTCTTAGAGTAAGTCCTTTGGTATGTGGATGCTGCAATGAGAAAGAGGAAAAAATGGAAATTAATTTTAAATTATTTAACTATGAATGGGCTTCACTTTACAGTTCCATTTATGCTTAATTACTTTGAGGGTTAACAAATAATTAACTGGTCCTATGACCATGTCACAGGCAGGATAAGCACCTCTTGCACACAGATCACAGTAGCATGAAGAACTGTTAGTGTTATTAGGAACCTGTTGATTTCAGGGGCTTTCTAAGAGTGTTGTTTACTTTAAAAGAATCTTAGTGACTTCTGTAAAAACAGGAAAGGAACATTTTTATTAGTTTGGGAGGTCTGATTTCTTTTTTTCCTACAAATAGAGTGAGCAGCATTGCTGTCATAATCTGTCATACCAGATTTGCAATTCTCTTAAAATATACGTTCATTACTTATAAATCTTAAATTATTCTATCATTTCTGATCCAGCACTTGTTTGCTTTCAAAGAACTCACGATTCATGCAAGTAATTTTAGGCATATCCCATCTTCCATTCCCTTGACACCGGATGGTTGGAATGTGACGCTGGATGAAACCATCTTTGCAGTGATATCTGATAAGGGAGTTGATCTCATAACGAGGTTTCATCTTTCCAAAGGTCTTTGCATTTTCCACAACAGGAGGCTGACCACAAGCAACTGAAAGAAAGAAAAAACATAACCGAGAACATCAGTTTTTAAATATACTTCTTAATACAGTACTGACCTCTAAACTCTGGCTAAGGGAAGATATCAAGGGGCCTCAGTTAGACTCTCAAAAGACAGATCCAAATATGAATAGGGAAATCAGTGTTTTCTATAGTTCTCTATTTGTAGACCAGATAAAGTAATGATGAAAATTGGAAAATAAAAGATGGTAAGGTTAGTAGTGCCTTTTTGGTTTAAATTTCTGGTGTAAACTTGAGCCAAAAAGGTTGGCGTACTCACACAAAGAAGTGATTTTCAGTGGAAAGCTGCAAAACCTGAAAATCGGTGAAGTGATCATATGCATTTAAGAAGAAGGTCTAATTTTCCATACTTCTCATGTCTTCCTCAAAAATAGACTGTTTAAAAGCACTTAAAATTGGTGCATCAAGGCACCGAGTACATGTTAACAAAGAACTGTAAATGGTAATTGGGAGCTATGAAGTGAACACAAGATTTTGGCTGCTTCTTTACTTTCACAGTCTACCAATATTCTGATGCCCACATACTCTGCAATGATGTCATCCAGGAAAGAAGAGTTGATAATATTTTCATGGTACACAAGTAAAGCAGGCCTGCCAGGTACGTGAATGCCTCTTTTGCTGAGATCTGAACATAAGAAGAAATTTGCCTGGATTTAACCAGGAGTTTCAACTACGTACACTTTTGTGTCTGGCTGAACAACAGATTAGGTAGAGATGTAGTGCAAGGATACAGATGAAGGATAATTTTCAGAAGTGGATTAAATTGAGGGTTCTGGTCACCAGAAATCAGCCAGAATTTGTTATTTTAACTGTGTAAAGCTGGAATTTAGAAAATTATGCTTTTGTTACTGGAAAGTTTGTACCTGTTCCTTTCTTGCAGGTATAGGTAAGGTGATAATTGCATGGCACATCATTCCACTGCCCATTCTCATGCCATATTATAACAACACAGTCTTCTCCAGCTGAAAAGAAGCTGTCTGGCTGGTTTGGTCGCCAGTTCTCATATTGCTGCAGAAAGGAGAAGCAAAACCATTATTCCCAGGGCTGCAGTATATTTACATTCTGTTTCACAGAAGAATACACAATATTACCTATGGTGAAGAGCAATCTCAATTGTTTGATTCAGGCTGTTAAACATGAACAAAACAAAGCTAGTTTTATAATATCCTCACATTCTATTAACAGGTTATCTCAATGAGAAAAAATATTCAGATCTAACTTCTCACTTACTGTAAACTGATGTTAAGCGAATAAAATAAACTGACACAATTCAGCACAAGCAAAATCTGATCCTAAGTATGTTGAAACAAACGCTTTCCTGCTTAGAAAGGCATGAAGTGGAATGTCATAAAATGCAGTAAATAGCCCATAACTCTTGTAGGTCCACATCTACTAAATGGCAAGTTAGAGGTTAGCTTCTCAGACTCAGATTATTTATTCTCTGACCTCATTTAATGAAGTCATTCAATAGGATGATTTGCAGAATTAGGTGTAAAATAAGTAAAGGTGTCAGCATGTGTCCCCAGATCATTGCAGATTGATATTTCCATTAAAAAGGCCTAGGTGGCAGTCTGACCATATACAGCAGCCTTTCAGCTTCAGAAGTGATGACCCAAACTTTGTCCTCTGTAGAAAAGCTACTCCAGACATCTATGAATATATATGAATAAAACCAGAAACTGGCACACTAGTTTTAGAAGTGGAAATCTGTTTGTTCCTATGCAACCAAAAAAACCCAAATAACCTTCAAATGACTGAAAATTACCTTTAGCATTTAAAAAAATGGTTACTTAGCCCTGCACCTGGGATATACATCTGGCATACCGATTTGGGCAGGCTTCATCCTTTGGGTTCCAAGCTGGCTACATGCATGCACTTAGCTACACAGCTCTGTAGTTTTCAGCTCTGTATATACCTAGAGATATGTCACTGCTAAGAGCTGCTGGTGAGCTATGTGTGGCTCCATGCATGGGTTAAACTCACATCTGTTCTGCTGTAGAATGCACTCTGTCAGCATGGCTAAGGTCATCATAGCACTATGTCATGTTTGGATGAAAATTAGGGAGGATTCAGTCTGCTTTTTCAATCAGTAAGTGCAAAAAATAGAAGGAAAGGGAATGTCACACCAATTCAAAATCTAAGCAGTAGTCTTATGGTAGGGGCCATATGGCCTACTGTCCTTGCAGTCAGCAGAGGTCGGGTAAACTTTATCCCACTTCTTGTTTCATCTTGTTCCCAAATGAAGCACAACAAGTCTAGATTAGCATTATGTCATGTAAAGAAAAGCAAGAAAAGATTTGGAAAACTATTATTAGCAATTTCTTTGGGATTTTTGTTGTGTCACTCTAAGAAGAATTTAATGAAGGTTATAAATAGATATCTGAAAGAACTGGAAGTCACATAAATGCCAGACATTAACCAGGCAGTTAGTCCCTTGTATGGTCAAAATGACACAGTTTCTAAAGTGCTTATATTTTCCTCACTGCTTACATCTTTCTATCTAGAGCTGGCCCATATAAATGTCATAAAAGTTTAGGTTTCTATTTTCTTAACTTTATGAAATAATGACTGTTCACTGCCTGGGTGAACACATTTTAGAAATAAAGTTAACATACCCCACATAAGTAGTATTTACCTTACAATGAATCAAACTATGAAAAAAGTTAAATACTTAACATTTTCCTACCATGTATCATTTTACCCATCGCAGGTTTTAATTATCCAAGCAATTTAATAATCATGGTCTAAATTCATTTGTTCTGCACTGAATTTATTACCTGTAATAAAACACCACCCTTTTTATATGAAACTAACTTCATTCCACCTCTATATTTCAGTGTTTAATAGTCCTAAACTACAGTACATAGTAACTAATTTACTCAAGTCCAGAATTCAGCAGTTCAAATTAGCTTATAAATCAGAGTATGAGTTTTGCAAGAACAGTAGCCAAATACCATACATATGAGTCAAATGGGACCTGCGGTATGACAGGCTTCCTGCAACACCTAGTGCAAAAGTGAAAAGTAAGCTCTGTGTGTATCTCCTGAGCCAGTGAGAAGGAAAATAGGGAGGAAGGAATTTGCCCGTGCATGGTGTGCATTACCATAACTTAGGTAAGAAGAAAGAAGTGATTACCTCTCACTTTCACCTCTGAATGCCTTACTACCCAGCTCAGCTGAAAAGTAAGATTTGCTAATGTAAGTCACAAGTTTATATATGATTGATTACATGGCTCAGACTATGGGCAGCAACCTCTTAAGCTGAAGCAATCCAGTCACTTTCAAGAATATGCCCAGATATATGAACACATAGAAAAATTACAGGAAACAACCAGGTTAATGGCAGAAAAGTTTGATCAGTAACATCCTGACAGCAAAGGAAACAAGTCTCGCAGCTGTTTCATATGGAAATAATACTTAGAGAGCTGTTTGCATCCATAAGGATCACAGTGCGGGAATGAAGGATATTTAATGCCTGTTGAGGACATGTGAGCTGAAGGCGCTCAGCAGCCCTCCAGCTCCCACCCTAAGGACTTAAACTTCATATGCTCTTACTTGCCTTACCATAATAACTCCTAAATTTGTGTTTGCTTTGCTGGCAGGACTGCAGTGCAATGGCGAAGGATTATATCTAGGCCTTGTGGTTTATTCAAGAATGTTTGATAACCTCCAGTGTGACTTGCTGTTACCTCACATCTGATATCATCATCGCATGTATTTATTTTGGCTGAATAACTCTGATTTTGCTTGGGTTTAGTGCCAGAATTGCTTAGCAGAGGAAGTTCCAGACTGCTTAGGTCTCCACCCAGTTCTTCTGTAGTTTTTCAATTCCTTATTTAGCCACTGATAATGGGATAATGGTACAAAAAGATTCTCACAGTTTCAGTGGAATAAGTTGCTAGGCAAATAAACTAATATTTTGCTTTCCTCTTACGGATTACATTTTTGCATGACAATGAGCATGACTCTGGTTTTCACTTAGTGTAAATCAGGGGTGACTGCACTATCTTCAGTAAAACTGCATCAGTAAAAAAATTAATGGAAAATAACCAAATCCCAGAAGTCACATACTGATTTGTACTGTTTTCAAAGATATCCTTTACAGTCTCTTACACAAAGTGTGTTGAGTGTAAAGACTCCCCCTACACTTACAATAAGTGCAGTAAGCATCTAAGATACTCAGGTCATAATTATTCTGTTGGGAAACGCTGTTCAAAATAACCTAAACAAGATAAACATTTTGAAGTGTCTCCTTACATTTTGATGCATTACTGACTTTTAGAAAAGTAAATTATTACAAAAGTAAAAAATTAACTTAATTCCTTGTCAACATGTACCATTCAGGTTTGTCTGGATTTTAAGAACATATCCAAAAAAAGTCAGCCATATTCACAGACAAACCAAAAATCACTGGCATCATTCCAGCCCCCCCTGCCGCTAGGTTATAACATATAAATTGAATTGATAAAGCTCAAGAGAGCCTTTTGCCAATAACCAAGCTTCAATTGACACCTCTAGCAATACTCTTAGCTGTATCATTCATAAGATATTACTTCTGTTTCTGAAAACCTAAATAGATTCAAATGCTAAGTTAGTACATGGAAGAAAAGCTGCTACAACCAAGAGCTCGTGCTGACACATTGTTCTAGCTTTCTCAGCAAAAGACCGCTGAAAATTTTCCTGCTTCCTACGTGGCATGAGACAATGCAGTTGTCTGGCTGATTGCCAGTCTTTAAAACAATGACAATGTATTTTCTTGCCTCACAGGAGGAGCTTGGGTATGATGGTTACAAAAGCCCATGAAGACATTTTATTAAGTTTGATGGTTTTTTGGGAGGATTACTTTATATGGCATTGAATTAACTCACAGCCATAATCTGCCAATTTGGTGGCAGGCTGACATTCACATAAATTAAATTTAAGAAAGCCAGGATTACAGTGAGAACTGTAAAGCAACTAACTTTATTAGCCAGTCACTATTTTTCTCCTTCAGGTGGCTGCTAATTAAACTGAATGAGCATCATGTACAAGATCCTACCTTGTAAAAGATTTGCTGTTTAAATTTTCAGATAACCAACCTTATTTGAAGGGCTCATTTCCTTATTAATGAGTAATCCATTCAGCTATTTCAGATATTTGCACTGCCAAGGTGAATCTATGAGTAAGCAATATCTCAGCTTCATGACACTTATTTGGTAATTTCAGCCATTCCTTTGTCTCCAAAAGGTACACCAAGTGCCTGAGATCAATTGCTTGGATTTGGCATTCCAGAACAGTCAACAACCATCGTGTTTAATGAAGCAATACAAAATAAACTACTGAAGCAAACAAAACTTTACTGCTTGACCTCCTTATTGTGTAAAGGCCAATAATCTTTTGTACATAACTAAAGTTAAGAAATAATTTACTTGAAATACTTCTATTTAGATTTACAGGGCTAATGCCTTACCATCTTGGAAAGAAAGCATGTTTTCAGCATGTTTAAATAAGCTTAAAGTACAAATCTGTCTTGGCACTTCTGGCATTTGTATTTTCCAATGCTATTTTTGTTTTCTTTCATTCTGGCTGCTTCCCTATCTGACTGCCTTGTAATACAAGACTAATGAGGCAAATCAAAAGACAAGAAAAGATGTAGAGGCTGGCTGACTGGATACTCTCTGTGCCATTTAATCTTAAAGTAAAGCAACATTTCCTGCCTGGTATTTATCACTAAACAAACTGAAACCACCACTGCAAATCTTACTGGCTATTGTCCTTCCCAACCCCCCCACACCCCCATAACTCTACTAAGAACAGGAACACACTTTTTTTTTTCACAATAGCAGACAGATTCTTAGAAATATTTATCAAGAAAGCTCCTGAACAAGTCCCTTGCTGTGGAGGTTCTGCTGTTATTGGATAGCTTAACTAAAAATTACATCTCACTTTCAGTAAGTCCTGGAAATTGCCCAGTTTTATAGGCTGGCTGAACTACAGCATGATCAGCACAAGGCTACAATGAATATATGG